TGGAAAGATGCTCATATCAGTTTTTTTAGAGCAATTGTTTTTGCATTTGATCTACTTTTCTAATGTGCATACTAGTTTCTCCAACTCATATTGCTCTTTTTATATCATCCAATATCAAATTATCATCAGAAAAACTATCACATCACACACATTTCAAGTATCAGCGTCCATTTATCCAATCATTTATCGGATCGTGGAAAGACGCTCATCTCCTTGTATGTTGGCCTTAAGGCAAGACTCTTATAGGCAAAAACTTAATAATGGCATCTTCATGGATGTCATTTGAAATAATATGGCCTCACCTATGTGTGTGTGTCAGCTCATCTCAAACAAAATAGGGTTATTTATTTTTTCTAAATGTTTCTGTTACGCCGGCTCTGGAGGGGCCGGCTGGACCGGCCCAGCTTGGACCGGTCCACGTCTATTCCAGACGACGGGAGAGGGGGCGGAAATCCCCTTGTGCCCACGATGGGCTTAATGCATGAGTGGGAGGGAAAATTTTAATGCAAGGGTTAATTAGGTAATTTGTAGGAATCCATTATGGTTAATTAGAGGAGGAAATTGGAGGGATTATCTTGAATTTAAATTTTGTTTGAGATCTAGGGTTGTTCTTGGGCTCTTGGCATTGCCGGAGATTGTGGAGAGTACTTCCTTCCTCTCGAATTGAAGGAAAATTATATCTTGCAAGTGCTTTTCGTCTACTATTGAAATATAAGTGTTTTCTTTGATTTCCTACGAATTTCTCTTGTATTTTTCTCAGTTTTTCCACTGATTGGGTTGTGTTCTTGCTGCGGACAGCAGTTTTCTTTGCTTAGGTACTTGATTTGGGTTAGGTTTATTTGTGCATACAAGTATTTCCTATCAGTTTCGCTATTGAGTTTCTTGGGATTGTTATTGCTGAAATTTAACTTACTAAAATGTAGTTTTCTATCCGAAGTACGTGGTTCAGTTGTGAGATATTGTTATTTGCATATCTTATACAGAGTTTCTAGAGATAAAAATGAGAGACTTGAGTGAAAGCAAATGTTTATATACCTTCATGTTGTGGTTTAGATGTTTCCCAAGCACCGCCTCCACTAAGTAAACCACCCCAACCCAACTATTTCATGTTTCTCATACATACCCTCTCTCTATTGTTGGGTTGAAATGTGAACAACTTGTCCTGCACTTATAGACGCGTAGTCATTTTATTTATGACGGATATTGCTAGACAGTTGTATCAGTAAATATATTGCACTTCCTTGGAGGGTATGCGTCAAAGAATCTTCTACTAGTCTATAAATAGTTTATTTTTTGGTCAAAATAAGTTGATATTCGTGCAATGCTAATTATTATTTGTAAAAGATGCTTAGTAGATTCATATCCTCTTTAGTTTTCAACTGTTGGTATACATTCATTGTGATGACCCAGTGGCTAAAAGGTAGTTAAGTTTACTAGCTTTGCAGAATGGTGTACGACTGCTTCATGATTAAGGTATGTTTATTGGTTTTTAAGCACTTGAAGTGCTTAACAAAGGCCCTTTTGACAATGTTAACTTGTGCCGTGCTATTTTCTAAAGTGCCATGTTGTTCTACTAAGTGAGATGGATATGTATAGTTACTAGATAGAATTGCTGTTAAATATGCTTTTTAAAGCACAATGATGGATGAACCTATTTACTAGAAACTATTATGATAGTAATATGTTTTGGATGAATGTCCAATATAAACATGGTCATTAATTAGCAATAGCATCAACTATATTAATTTGAAAAATATATTTCCTATCCATAAATTAATAATTAGAATAAATTTTTTTAAATATATAATTATAGAAAGATTTATACAATAATTGCAAGAATTTTCATAATACAACAACAACATCAAGCCTTTATCCCACTACGTGTGCTCGGTTACATAAATCCTTTTTCTCCATTGTATCCTATTAAAAGTCAAATTCTCGTTTAAATCTAATAAAGAAATGTCATTCCTAATATTTTCTAACAAAGTCTTTTTAGGTCTGCCTTTACTTTTTCTTAACATAAGTTAAATCTAATACCTCTACTCTCCTAACTGGGTCATCGGAAGGTCGCCGTTTTATGTGACCAAACCATCTAAGGCGACTCTCTCTAACCTTTTCTTCTACTGGGGCTTCTCCAACCTTTTCACATATATGCTCATTTCATATCCTATCTCTAAGGGTAAAGACACTCATCCACCTGAGCATCCTCATCTCTGCCACACTTAACTTAGTATTATGCTTCTCTTTTAATGGCCAACATTCGGCGCCATAAAGCATTGCAGGCCTCACCATCATCTTATAGAATTTTCCCTTAAGTTTGAGTGTTACTTTTCTATCACACAACAAGCCCGTTGCATTCCTCCACTTCAACCATCCAACTTGAATTATGCTGATAATATCCTCATCTATTTCACAATCACCTGAACAATAGATCCAAGATATCTAAAATGTATACTCTTATTAATGAGTTGATATTCCAAATTTACAAGCCCCTCACTAGGTCTATTACTCTACTAAAATTACCCTCTATATATATTCCGTTTTAGATCTACTCAAGCAAAAACCTTTAGACTCTAAGGTTGACCTCCATAATTCAAGTTACCTTCAACTCCCTCTCTAGTCTTATCAACAAGAAGAATATCATCATCAAAAAGCATACATCAAGGTACATCCTCTTGCAAATGTCTAGTTAGAACATCCATAAATAAAGCAAAAAGATATGGGCTTAAGGCTGATCCTTGATGTAACCCAACCGAAATAGGGAAATACTTGGTCAAACCACCTTGTGTTTGAACACAAGTAATAGCTCCTACATATATATCTTTAATGATTTGAATATAAGCATTATTAACTCCTTTCTTTTCAAGAACTCTCTATTGCACTTCTCTTGGAACTTTATCATATGCTTTTTCTAAATCAATAAATATCATATGTAAATCCTCTTTATTTTCTCTATATTTCTCCATCAAACCTCTTAGTAAATGTATGGCTTCCATGGTCGACCTACCCGGCATGAATCCAAATTGTTTTTGAGAAGAAATTTTCAGAATAATAATAAAAAAAATGTTTGTGAAGCCCATCTATTAAAAAGTAGAGTCTTACAAAATCCCTATGTGTTTAGGTTATTTTTAATATTTGACAAGGGCATTTGGATCTAAAACGATTGTAATGTTGCCTTTTGACTAAAGCATATTACATTACATGAGAACATACATTTGATTCGCTTTTTGATAAGCTCCATACCTTCATACAGCAGAATTTTTTCATGTAGGAGTCGTCTTGTTTTTGTAAAGGCCCTAAAATTGATTATGCTACCTCAAAAAATATAGTTAGGCAGTAAAAAAGTTTGGCAAACAGAGCGAAAGTAAGAGTTATGGTTGGCTATGGCCTGATATAATGCTAAAAACTTGTATTTCTTTTTATATTACCAATAAAGTGGCTTGACGTGTCCTTAGGAGGATCTGACTATCGTGGATGCTACCGAGTTTTCATGAAATGAGAATAAAACCTTCATCGAAAATAGCGTCATAAATTTGATCCACATTCCAACTTTTACCAGAGCATTCCTCAAAGACAACCCTTCTACGTCCAGTAACCATAACTTGATTATATAAGCATATCTTCCAGCTGAATGGCCTTTCACGAAATTGGCTTTTCTTTTCATAATTGTGCTTTTGCAAATCATTTCAACTCGTTAATGGTACCATATTTTCCTACATAATTACTTCATGTTGATACATCCAAGTTTTGTTCTTCATTGAATAAACTTGGTGAAAAATTTTCAATTTTCTTGTGTTACCCAGTTTACTATTTTTAGTTCATCTGTTTGTAGCGTGTATAAATCATGAAAGGAAGCGATTTCTCATGCTCATGTAAGATGGACAAAGTAACTGACTAGGGGGGAAAGGTTTGCCAATAAACTCGGATTAAGTGGATTAACTTGCTCTGAAGTATATGATGGCCCCTGTAGAATGATTTCTTTCAATTACTCGGTTTCCATAATGGAACTTGGTCAGTTCATGAGCTGTTGCTGAATGTGCATAGGTTTCATTTTTGTTTAATATTTGATTGCATTGATACATTACTGTCGAGCCACCGGCTTTATATACACATGTGGATTGCCAACATGAAATCAGAATGTGTTGCAGGACAGTCTAAGCCTAGTTTATAATCTGCCGTAATGTTTTCATCATCTCTATGATTTGAATGGCCTAAGGTGACTTACATTGCAGGTCAGAAACTACAACCTAGATCCATTAATATTTTGCCGTTTGCACTCTCTAAAATCTTCTCAATGATTTATTATTATCATTATAATTGAAAATTTTACTTGTTCTCAAGTAACTTTCATTGCTTTCTCTTTGGTTCTCCGACAAATTATTCTTCAACAACAATAAAACATCATTAAGCCTTTATCCCAAAAAGTGGGGTTGATTACATTAATCTTTTTTCTTCATTGCGTCTTATTAAGAATCAAATTATCATTTGAATCAAATAAAAAAATATCATTTTTAATATTTTTTAACCAAGTCTTTTTAAATCTACCTCTACCTTTTTTACATAAGCCAAATCTAATACATCATAGATAATAAATTGGAAAACTATCTAAAGAGGATGGTAGATAAACAATACATTTACTTATCAAGAAGTTACCTTGTTCTTCATTCTCTTAAGATATATTCCTTTTGTTGTGATTTTGAATGTATACTCTTCTTTTCTATCACAAATTACTCTTCATAGAAAATACGTTGGAAAACTGTCCAAAGAGAATGAGAAATAAATAATGCATCTATTGCTCCAGAAGTTACCTCATTCTTTTCTCTATCTTTTGTATTTTTTTGGTTTACATGGTAAAAATAGTAAAAGCTGGATATATATATATATATATATATAAAGAGAGATAGAAAGAGAGAGAATAGATGATCTTGTTATGATACTTCAAATTAGTGTTTATAACATGTTAAAATGGATTAATAAACTAACCAGATTATTGTTTATAGGGAGCTCAGCTTTGTTCTTACTATGCTCAACATGGAGTATGCAAGTTTGGACCAACATGCAAGTTCGATCATCCAATGGGTACATTGAGTTACAGTCCTTCGGCATCTTCTTTAGTTGACATGCCTGTTGCTCCGTATCCTATTGGAATGTCCCCTCCTACTTTAGCTCCATCCTCCTCATCAACGGAGCTAAGGCCAGAGTTCCATCATGGTAAGGATCCTTTTCTGACTCAGACACCATCTGATGACGTCCATACTGGTTCTGTTGGTCCATTATTAGCAAAGGGCCGATTTTTACCTCATGCCCTCCTCAAATCCTCTTCACAAATGCCTGCTTCAACCAGTAACATCTCAAAGATGACTAGTTCAAGCTAAGAACCATTTCAAACTATTTTTTGGACTTGACAAGTATGTATGATGAAGTTCCAACATGTTCACTGTTCTCGACGGAAGTGGAGATGTATTAAGATTAAGGCGTGTATTCTTATTCAGACAACCTGATTCTTACTAGCCTACACACCATCCTGTCCCTTACCAGATCAAATATTTGATGGTTTCTTTTGTTCATATTGTCTCTACCGACTCGGCATCTTCCACTTGAATAAGTTATCCCCAACATCCAAATCATGGTATAGCAAAAGATTACGGTCTTCCCATATTTTTTTTTTTTTAATAACTGCAATTGGGAGTGCAACTGGTTGGAAATTGTCCGGGGAAGCTGTGCTAAACACAGCTGTTTTTCATTTATATTGCAATGTTATTGAAATGAATGTTTTTTGCAAATATACTTAAATGTTGTATGCATATATAAAGCTCTATGTTACTCTCGTTGTCTATGGCCTGATATAAAACTTTTTGGAGTTGATTGTAGTTTGGTGGAGTTTAAGAGGATGTCAACGTGTATGGAATGAGACTAGGTCTAAGTATTCCCTACTTCAGCCAATGGCTATATGAATGTTTTTAAAATGGTTTTAATATTTTCATTGATGGTTTATTAGTATTAGAGGTTACTTATGTAGCGGAGAAAGTGTGATGAAGAGTTCAGAATAGGTATTTAAGAGTCGTAAAAAATATTAAAGAAAGAAAGATAATTACCTAATCTCATAAAAGGAAAGTCATACACTTGAAACCACCAAGTACTAAGCAAATTAAGAGACTTCTTCACAAGTTTATTTCATTAATATATATATATATATATATATTAGCTCATATTATTGGCATCATACGACTAATAGGAAATCAATTTTTGGAGGAAAAAGAGGGCATGTTGTCATTAATAAGAAAGTTCTTCAAACCACCTATTTTTAATACTTAATCTATACCTAACCATATCTTGGATGGCCATATAAGTTTCTCGATGAAATTTAAAGTATAAATTCTATTTAAAATATATAAAAATATGGGCTCATATAATTAAGCTTCGGTCTTTATTCTTGTAGTTAGATTTCTATCTTGATTATCTTTATTCTCATGATGTGACACATCAATCCCCTTGGACATCAATCCCCTTGGACTCAGTTGAATAATGCTATGTAAACTTATAATATATATAGTTTTCTATCTATTATGGGGCCAAAGTCTTTAAGTTACTAGAAGTCAGCCATGTATCATCATTAGGCAGTTTATTCTTCCAACAAATTAAAAGTAATGCTCAATAGTTAGATCAGTTGATGCTTCATTAGTGATGATATAATAAATCTCTAAATAAGTGGGATTATGTAAGTGAGGAATTATATCTCCTACTAAAGAATTAGGCTAAATAAGTGGAGGTTTGTTAACTCCATTATATAATAAAATAATTTTAATATTAATAACAATATGGGTTAATATATCAACAGGGAAATTAAGGTGATATGAATTATATTTAATTTTCTTAAGATGTTTGAAAGGTCCACAAGACATTTCATGTAATTTCTTAAACTAAAAATTTGGTAATATACATGGCAAAAGTATGGTTAACTACCTTAGATTGACTGTTGACTTTAGGATGAAAAGTAGATGAAAATTTTAATTTTGTGCTTAATAACTTCCTCAAAGATTTTAAAAAATATGAGATAAATAGAACTTCTTGGTCATATATGATTATTGAAGGCAGGTCATGTAGATACCCTACATCCATAACAAATAATCCAACAATGTGGGAGGCATTGTTAGTTTTAGAGTAAGGTAAGAAATTAGTTATTTTGAGAATTAATAAATTATCACAAAAATGCCATCATGAACATAAGTAATTTGAGGACATCCTAAGATAAAATCCATCGATAAGTCCTCTCAAGACTTATAAGGGATAAGTAAGGCAATGTAGTTTATTGTTTGGACTTCAACTTACTAGCTTAAGCTCATTTGCATGTTAAACATTGGTTCATCAACTTTCGAACATCACATTTCAGTGAAAGATAGCAATATATACTCTTTTATCAATCACATAACCTTACCTATCCTTAAATTACTAGCTATTCCTTTAGAATATAATTTAGAGATAAAAAAAATTCTTTAAGTGAAGATCTATGAATACAACAGTATTTTTCCCTAATAAGATATAAATGAACTAAAACGAATGTCCTCATAGGGTCAAACCTCTATATGTGTTTGCAAAGTAAATTAGATGAAAATTGAGACAAATTGGATACTCATACTAATTTTTTTCAAATCAAGGGATTTTGATTATAAGAGAAGAAATGGATAAAGTTACTCTGGAGAAGGTATTTACATGTTTATTTTTTTTAATGGTTTATTTTATAGGACAAACCAATAAAGTTGAAGAAACTTGACTCATTTGTTATGTCTAGAACATAATTTTTATTGAGTGTTGATTTATTTGAAGGCATAATGAAATGATATAAGAATAAACTCTCAAAGTATAAGTTAGCGCTAGTGTCTCATAGATTAGATTTCTAAATAAAATTCTCTTTCATATGTTGAATAATGTTATTGTACCTTATTTAATTTTTCACTAAAGAAATTTATTAGATATTTTTCCTAACATAATAATCCACCAATTCTAACTCGAGAAGCATTACAAGTTACTACAAGGGTGTATGAAAAATCAGGTAGCCTAAGGATAAAAGCTAAGGTAATCAAAATCTTAACTTGATCCAAGGCCTTTGATGCTATAGGGTATAAGAAAATTTTTTCAACTATAGAACTTTAATTATTGAGGTAGCGATTGTATTAAAGTCTTTAAAGAATCTATGATGGAATATAGCTAGATCTTTAATGAATCTATGATTGAATATAGCTAGATCTTTAAAAATTCATACTTTAGTGAAACTTTTGGGTGAGGGCTAGTCTACGATGACTTAAATTGTGGAAGGGTTAGGTTTTATTCTTGTGATAGAAATAATGAATCCTTAAAAAATTATCTCAATTTTTAAAAAGAAAAACTACTATAGGTTATTGTATAATTTTTCCTTTTGAAGAGTTTCAAAAACCTATCTAATGTGTTACAGATGGTCTTTCTCATTTAGGCTAAAAATCAAGATATCATTAAATTAGACAACAAAAAATTTTTTGATGAAGTATTTTAGAAGAACATTCATTAATCTCATGAAAGTGCTTGAGGAATTTGAAATCACAAAGGGCATTTCAAACCATTCGTAGAGCCCATCAAGGGTCTTAAAAGCAATTGTTTATTCTTCTTCGAATCAAACCCTAATATGGTGATAACCACTTTTTAAAGTTTAGGAAAAAATAGGCCCTAAATTTAAATATAACATGCCATCCTATATCGAGGAATAGAAAATTTATACATACTAATGATTTTACTAGTAGCATGACTATTAACATACATCTTCCATATGCCATCTTTCTTTGAGGTTAAAAAAGTTGGAACTATACATAGACTAAGACTTTGTTGCATAAAATATTTTTTTAGTAAGTTGTCAACTTATCTTTTATTCTTATTATATTTAATAGGAAACCAATATTATGCAAGGTTAAAAATCTGGGAAGTTGAGACTAAGTCAATGGTGATGGGAGCGGTGGAGTAACCTATAAAATTATGAAATGAATTAGAGCTCTATCAATCCATAACAATATTTATGTTTTCTTTGATATAAAAACTATAAAAAAAAACCCACTTAATATATGCAAGTGTACATATAAAATTAAGTAATATAGTGATGGAGTAGAGTATCGATCCCATGAGGAAGATGTGCTCACTTGTAAATAGTAGTATTATATATTAAAATTATAACAATTATTCCGCTCAATAAAAATAAAGGTTGTAGAGATTCAATCACTTAAATAAGATTAGACAATGAATAATGAATACATTGTGGATATAATGTTTTGGATTGATGAATATAAATAACATATTTTTCCTAATAAATCTCTTTTAATTGTGATGTAATTTAGAGCATATATATCCCTAGATCTATATCGAGCCTGTAGGAATAAAGTATGTTTATCGACTTCCTATGATTATATCATTTTCTTAAAAAATTAGTATATTTTTACCCTATGTTAAGGCATGACGCATACTAATTCAATATTCCAAGTTATGCTTGCTTACCTATGTTGAAGCCCCACATTACACCAATTTTTAACTACATATATGACCATTATTTGTATTAAATGAAGATCTAGTAACATATAAAACATATTTTTGATCATTTAAGGAATAAAAAAATACAATGTATAATACATACACCATCAATCCAAAAAAAGATAATTTATCCAGACATGGAGAAAAGTTGAAGCAAACCTATTTTCATTAGCATGATAAAAATAAAACACAAGAGATAGATGTCACCATATAGGTTTAATGGATCTCATATATACTCCTTCCTTTTACTTACAAAATTACTTCTAGAAACTCAAGCTAAATACCCTAATGATGGTATTAAATACTTCTATAAATTCACTTAGTTGTCACCCTAAGCAAAATTCAGAGAAGTACTCTGAATTGTATTGAAATATCTAAATGACTAAACTCCCTTACAAAAAAAAAAAAAAAAAAAAAACACAATGAATATTTATAAGAAAATACAAAATAGGTGTATGACACTCTAGCTTTAGAAAGATTGGTGCTGTTGTGCCCATTAAATGAACTATGAATGTGTTGTTTTTTTTTTGGTGCCACTACAACACTTGTTGACATGATCATTTACTTGGTGAACAATCGTGTCGCTTTGCTGATAGATCGTATCCTTGGAAAGTTACAACTGCTAGCCTTGGTGCTACTGACTTTCTGATGTTGTGGCATTGGGAAAGCAATTTGGGCTTTGAAGCATTATAGATTTGAATGCACTGGCATTGGACAAAAGAGAACTTGACAATATGAAAATGATATTTGACTGCTGCGGCTCTATTCAAAGAGAAGTCAGTTCTACAATGCTGATATTTTGGCATTCCAACATTATTTGTTCCGACATCGCAAAGCTATATGAAACTTAAAATTTTATGCTTTTTCTATATTTTTCCAGTACAATACACATAAAATAATATATTTTTATTGAAAATATAACGCATAAAATAACATATTATTTTTACTTATTAATGACATGTTAAATATACTCAATAGGTTGTAAGACATCAAGCAAGTCAAAATATGAAACATATTTAAACTCAAATAGTAGTGGAATGACTATAGTAGGTTATGAATCTCTTTAGAATTAGGTGTGTTTTGCTTTCATATGTTGCAGGTATAGGGATATAAGATTAGTAAATTTGCTTTTAATGATTCTAAATCCTATATTTTCTATCTTTGGGGTTATAGAAGTTGGTAGAATAGTGGTATTGGAACTAGGATTAGGAATAATAAAGTTATCCCTGATAATAGGGCTTTTAATGACGATGAGTTAAAGTTTAACACTCTTCTTATATTTAGGTTTGGAATACAAAATTAAAATTTATTTTATGAGGTACTA